CCAAACCCCTAGGAAGCTGGACGGCGAGATCACGCTGACGGACATCGCCAAGCGCACCGCCGGCTTCTCGGGGGCTGACCTGGAGAACCTCATGAACCTTGGGGACCAAGATGAATGTGGGGGTTTTGGGTTATTACAGGTTTAGGGTTTATAGGGTTGGGGTTTGGGGTTTGGGGTTTAGGGTTTAGGGTTTAGGGTTTAGGGTTTAGTGTTTAGGGTTTAGGGTTTAGGGTTTAGGGTGTAGGAAAGGAGGTCATGAACCTTGGGGCCCACGATGAACCTGAGTGGGTTTAGGGTTGTCGGGGTTTTAGGGTTGCTAGGGTTGTTAGGGTTTAGGTTTAGGGTTTCGGGTTTAGGGTTTAGGGTGGATTCATATACCCGCTGCTACTAGAATCCCTATTGTATATACCGCAAACCCTCTGAGGATCTTCTAGGCTTCATTCCATCCCCAACTAAGACCTGGAGTATGCTCTTATTTCCTTTTTAGGGTTTAGGGTTTAGGGTTTAGGGTTTGGGGTTTCCTCTTAACCCCTTAGCACCAAGAAGGGTGCCCTTTTATTCCTAGGTTACCCTTGGGTCCAGTCATTCGCTCCGCAAGGAACGAGTCTGCCATCCTGGCGGCCAGGCGCAACAAGAATGCCATCACTATGGATGAGATTCTTGGGATGGCCCCAGTAGAGCCTTTATTCACTCTCCTTTTTTATTCTGGGGGGGGGGGGGAGGGGGTAGAGTTTAGGGTTTCGGGTTTAGGGTTTTAGGGTTTAGGGTTTAGTGTTTAGGGGCGGGAGGAGGGTTGTGAAACCAAGAACCCTCAATCCCAAACCCCAGACCCTCAGCCCACCCATACTCCTAAACCCTAAACCCTAAACTCAAACCCTAAGCCCTAAGCCGAGGATCAGTGACGCCACCGATCGGGTTATCGCCGGTTTGGAGGGCCGCGCGCTTGCGGACAACGCGGTCGCCTGGTAGCCCTGATAGCTATATGGGTTATGGGGTTTAGGGTTTAGGGTTTAGGGCTAGGGTTTAGGGTTTCGGGTTTCGGGTTTAGGGTTTAGGCCACCTCCCGCCAACTTTCTTGCGGGGGGAGGGGGGCAGAGGGGGAGTCCTGAGGTTCCTGTTTCTAAAGCTACCCAGTACCAGTGTTTAGGGTTATGCAAATACCCGATAGCCTTTTAAGGCATTTTTTGGGTTATTGCGTTCTGTGAAATTAATTAATCCTAAACCTTAAACCCTAAGCCCTAAACCCCAAACCCTAAACCCTAAACCGTCTAGCAACATCTCCAAGGCGAAGAAGCTCATCGCGTACCACGAGGCCGGCCATGCCATTGTCGGAACGCTGCTGCCGTGTCTTTGGCATAGTGGGGTAACTTTTGACATTTTTCAGGGTGCTTAAACTCAATGAGGAGTAGAGAATTAAAATTTTCATACTATCCCAACCATAAACTAGGCGTCTTGGGTTGATTTGTCCATCGTTTCTAACGTCTGCGGGCCCCCGAAATCCGTGTAGAACCTTGGTAGTCAACAGCAGTTGGAAGTTCATACCCCCCAGGTATCACGACTCTGTCAGCAAGGTGACCCTAAACCCCAAACCCCATAAACCCTCAGCCCCAAGCCCAGAACCCTAAACCCTAAACCTCAGGTATCACGACGCGGTCAGCAAGGTGACCGTTATCCCGCGTGGTCAGGCCAAGGGCCTGACCTGGTTCACGCCCGGCGAGGCGGAGAGTGTTTGTGCCACATATGATGATTTCTCGAAATTTCGGTCCCTTTGGGGGTTACGATTATAAGGGTGGCCCCTCTTATTCAGGGTAGCCCCAAAAGGACCATAATTTAGGGAACTGACCTTTTAACCAATAAAATGGACCCCCCCCCCCCCCCCCCCCCCGCAAGAGCACCTCAAACCCGAAACCCCAAACCCCAAATCCTAAACCCAAACCCCAAACCCTAAACCCCAAACCCCGAACCCCAAACCCCAAACCCTAAACCCCAAACCCTAAACCCCAAAGCCCAAACCTCAAACCCTAAACCCCAAACCCCGAAACTCCGCAAGGACCAGAGCCTGATCTCCGCCGCCACTTAGGGATGCTTGGAAATTGTTTTTAGTTTTTGGTACCCCTAAACCCTATACCCTAAACCCTAAACCCTATACCCCATACCCTATACCCTATACCCTACACCCTATACCCTAAACCCTAAGCCCTGAGCCCCAAGCCCCAAGCCCTAAACCCTAAACCCTAAGCCCTAAACCCTAAACCCTAAACCGCAAGGCCATGCTCAGGGCGCGCATCGCCGGTGCCCTGGGCGGCCGGGCCGCCGAGCAGCTGGTCTTTGGCTCCAACCAGGTGGGGTGCTTGACAGGGTTTAGGGTTTAGGGTTTAGGGCTTAGGGCGAAGGGTTTAGGGTTTAGGGTTTAGGGTTTAGGGTTTGGGGGAAAGGTCCAGCTATTGTCGGGTAATGCTACGGCGTCTCAGCTCCGTAGGCCCTCCACATCTAGCATAAACATCCCTTCCCGCAGCCCACCGGGATTTCGAGTTTAGGAATGAAAGGGCAAAGGGTTTTCTTACCCTAAGCTTAAACCCTAAACCCTAAACCCTAAACCCTAAACCCGAAACCCTAAACCCTAAACCCTATAACCCTGAACCTTAAACCCTAAACCCGAAACCCGAAACCCCAAGCCAATTTTACTGGCTTCTGGGGCAGTAGGAATCACCCTGGAACCCACTGAAGCTAGCCAGGTGACCACTGGCGCCGGTGGCGATCTCCAGCAGGTGTCCTAAACCCTAAACCCTAAACCCTAACCTCTAACCCCTAACCCCTAAACCCTAAACCCTAAACCCTAACCCCTAAACCTTAAACCCTAAACCCTAAACCCTAAACCCCACTCGTAGCAGGTGGAGCGTATGGCTCGGGCCATGGTCACCCAGTTCGGGATGTCGGACGTTGGCTCCCTCGCTGCTGGATCGCAGGGAGCACGAGATTCCCAGTGCCGCCCCCTATGGTTTGTTAGGGTTTAGGGTTTAGGGTTTAGGGTTTAGGGTTTAGGGTTTAGGGTTTAGGGTTAAAGTCGAGGGCTCGATTCTCTCACACTCCCTAAACCCCCTAGGCCGCTCAAAATCGAGCTTGTTGCAGAACCCGCTGAATAGTCACACCAGGAACGTCCCCACTGTAACCTTATACAGTTCTCAGTTTAAGCGGCCCATTCTAGTCAAAAACTCACCCATATGATTTTGGGAGAGGGTTTAGGGTTTAGGGCTTAGGGTTCGGGGTTCAGGGTTTAGGTTTCAGGGTTTATATCCGCAATGGCAAGAGGCCATCGACGATGGCGGCTTCGGTGGCCCTGATTACTCGGAGGAGTTGAGCGCAAAGATCGACAAGGCCATCAAGGACATCTCGGATGACACCTGGTGGCCAAGCACTACCCTTCTGCCTTTTTTGGTTGATCAAAGGGACCACCCCGAAGCCCTAACCTCCTAGCCCTAAACCCTAAACCCTACTCTAGAATGCGTTTACAGAGCAACCAGGACTGCTACCTCAAGGCGCTGGACATCCTGATGACGCACCGTGCATGCCTGGATCCTTGGTCGTAGTGGGGTAACATTTTACATCAAACCCTAAATCCTTAGCCCTAAACCCTAAACCCTAAACCCTAAACCCTTAACCCTAAATTTCTGCTACTATCCCAACCATGAGGATCGTGTGGCCGACGAGCTGACGGAGCTCGAGACCATGACCGGAGAGCCTTGGGGGGGAAAGGGACCTCAAAGCTTGGGATCGTGGACCGTCAGCTTGGGTTTAGGGTTTAGGGTTTAGGGTTTAGGGTTTAGGGTTTAGGGTTTAGGGTTTAGGGTTTAGGGTTTAGGGTTTAGGGTTTAGGGTTTAGGGTTTAGGGTTTAGGGTTTAGGGTCAGGGCTACCCCGCACCCTTTTTTTCTTGGCTTCATTTCATGCCCGGCCCAGGACCGGCTTCGGGAGATCATCGCCGAGTACGTGGAGATCCCTGCCAAGCTTGCTGCCGTGTGAGATGCGCGCATCAAGCGCGCAATAATATAGGGGTCGGAATAATTACTCATAGTATTCCCTTAGGGTCCCTTTATGATTGTATTATTATATTATAATGACCCCCAAAATCCTATTCTAACTATTCAGGCCCCTATATTACTTCGGTTTAACTGGGGGGGTTGTTCCTTAATGATGGTCCTTTTTGGCGGGGCCTTTTTTTCAAAGGCAGCCGAACAGTTTAGAATTTAGAACAACCCCCGACTGCTCTCAATTCGTGCTTGAGCCAAACTCACAGCTCCGCCCAGACCCTTGTGCAGCAGCCTCTTTCCTAGGCAGGCCCTTGTTTTTTTGTTTTTTGTGTATATATTTGTCCTTTTTGGGTTTAAGAGGATCATATTCCTTCAGGAATATGTTTCAGAAGGTCTTAAGGGCCATCCTGGTTTCTGGAAGGAGCCTCACCTGTTTTTGTGACCCCGAAAAGACGTGGTAGAATTACGGATCGGCGTTCCTGCTTCTGACCAGTACAGCCCACAAAGGGGCCACTGGCGTGGAAGCGCCCTGTTTCGAGACTCATTTTCAGCAGAGCGTCCACCGATTTTTGAGAGAACTAATTCCAGACCGAAGCTGGCGAGCACCCTACACCCTCAACCCTACACCCTAAACCCTAAACCCTAAACCCTAAACCCCTAAATCGGTAGACCTGGATGCCAGTTCGGGATGCAGCCTGCGCGCTGCATTCTTTCGAGGCACTAGCCTCTCTCCTGCGCGATGCGCAGCCCGCGACACAACCTGCAATCCCACAATGATGTAAACGAAAAAGGACAGCCTTCGTATTGCCAGGTTACTTGGGTCTAGCAACCTCAAACCCTACACCCTGCACCCTAAACCCAAACCCGATACCCTACATGCTAGCCACAAACCCTAAACCCTAGACCCTAGACCCCAAACCCTAAACCCTAAACCGATTCAAGTCCTCCAAAGCTTTGAGAAGACAAGCCGCAGGCCAAGCCGAGTCGCGAGGCACGGCGAGCGGGCTTTCGGCATTTTGCACACCAGGGGGCTGCTCGAGATTAGGGTTTAGGGTTTAGGGTTAGGGTTTAATGTTTAGGGTTTAATGTTTAGGGTTTAGGGTTTAGCGGTTGAAGGTGTAGGGTTTAGGGTTTAGGATTTAGGATTTATGGTTTAACCCCAAGCTTCTTGTGGGGGTCCTTGTTGGAAACCAGTAGGACCTCTAAGGGGGAATTCCGGTTTGGGACAGCAGGGCGTGCACCACCCCCCGAACCTTTAAACTCGAAACAGGTTAGGGTTTAGGGTTTCGAGTTTAGGGTTCAGGGGTAGCCGCAAACCTCAAACCCTGAACCCTAAACCCTAAACCCTAAACCCTAAACCCTAAACCCTAAACCCTAAACCCTAAACCCTAAACCCTAAAGGCCTCCGAGGCTTCCGACCGTTAAAGCACATGGGTAGCATCAGTTACACCCCCCCCTTAGCTTTTGGCAGCCACCAGAACCCTCCTAGGTAAGATAAGGGGGACCCTTAAAAGGGAACCCCTTCTGAACCCTCTTCTGGCGCTCTTAAGCAGGGACCTTATTGAGGGTCTGTATCCCCAAGGGTCCCCCTAATCCTATCCCCAGAACCCAGACCCTGCACCGAAAGCCTTCAACAGATTTTCAGGGCTTGGGTTAGGGTTTAGGGTTTAGGGTTTAGGGTTTAGGGTTTAGGGTTTCGGGTTTAGGGTTTAGGGTTTAGGGTTTAGGGTTTAGGGGGTGTAAGTCGTGCTCAGGGTTGAGGAGCTGAAACGTCTAAACTCCCTACACTCCTGGCAAAGCCCTCCTAAGCCCATGGACCTAGTAAACAAGGCTTGGTATGTTGCCCGCTATACTAACAGTCCGTTATAATCCGATTAAGGACTAAGGGGGAGCATCCCAACCCTAAACCCCTAAACCCTCAACCCTGATTATGGACCCTGATAACCCCAAATCCCGAAACCGAACCCGAAACCGCCAAGGCAGGCCCATAAGAAGTGCACCTTGTAGCTCCCCTTAGTTTGGGTTTAAGAGGATCACATTTAGGCACTGAAACTCTAAACCCTAAGCCCTAAACCCCAAACCCTAAACCCTAAACCCTAAAAGGCCAACCTCGGAGCCCAAACGCACATGCAGCCGCCCCACGAGGCGCTGCGCCAGGCGATCCTGCGTCGTCTGGACAAGGATGAGGCCTGACCTTCGGGGCGCCCATGAGGGTTGGAGGAGTCTAGGCTTTCGGCACCTAAACCCTCCTAGCCTTAAGCCCTGAACCCGAAACCCTAAACCCTACATCCTAAACCCTAAACCCTAAGCCCTAGCCCTAAACCCTGAACCCTAAAATGGGTCCCAAAAAGCCTTGCTAACAGGGAGGGATCGTGCTGTAATGAACACCGATAGGGGGACCAAAAAAAAAGTAAACCCTGAAGCCCTTCCACACAAACCTATAAGCCGTGTGGCCCGTGCTTGCACTTCCGCAAGCAGCTCGGGTTTCAGCGTCCGAAGTTTCGAATTTCGGAAACATGGGTTGTTGGTATGGCCCCAAGAGTTTTGGGTTTAGGGTTCAAGGTTTAGAGTGGCCCCTTACCCCGTTCATAGGGATCCGAAGTATGGGACCCGCTCTATGTAGAGCAACCCCAAACCCTAAACCCTAAACCCTAAACCCTAAACCCTAAACCCTAAACCCTAAACCCTAAACCCTAAACCCTAAACCCTAAACCCTAAACCCCAGATTTCCCGGGTATTTATTCATGCGGTCTTGGCTTCTTGCTCCCAGCAGCTCTGAATCTGCGTCCTCCTGGCCTCTCAGGTCCTTGCATGGTTTGGGTTTCTGGGGTTTAGGGTTTAGGGTTTAGGGTTTAGGGTTTAGGGTTTAGGGTTTAGGGTTTAGGGTTTAGGGTTGGGGTTTCTGGTTTAGGGTTGACTTGGAGAGGCAGTTCGAAGTGAAACGGTTTCATTCCTAGGTTACTCTTGGGTTTAGACCCTCATAATCCTTGTACAATCGTAGAAACTACCCACCTCGATATCTGTCAGAAAAATATTTCGTGTGTAGTAGAAAAAATTACCCACCTACATAAATGCCAACATCACCCTTGGAATCTGCGCATAAGCTTGATCCCAACATTCCCCTTCGTGCCTGTCATCCAGGATGATTCCTGCTAAACGAAAAAAACTCTTCAAACCCAGCCTAGATCCCAAGCAGCGAGAGACCAGATAAAAAAAGGGGATCGGAATGACTACTGATAGTCTTCCATCATGGTCCTACATCAGTACACTACAGCGACCCCTCCTCAAAATCGTATTTGTAATCGAAATATGGGTCCTAATAGTTTACTAAACTTACTAAACATATATACCCCAATTCCTAAACCTAAACCCTAAACCCTAAATCCTAAATCCTAAACCCTAAACCCTATTCTAATTACGCTCAGTGTCCGATATTATGCACAAATCTGCGTTCCGACGCTTTCGAGTGCGGAACCAGCACGAGACCTGGGCGCGAGCACGATGTGTCACTAAGCACATGCACGAGACCCAGGCAAGAGCACAATTTCGAGTACGGACAACTGTTCAGGGTTTAGGCTTTAGGGTTCAGAGTTTGGCGGGCAGGGTTTAGGGTTTGAGGTTAGGGTTTAGGGTTCAGGGTCTAGGGTTTAGGGTCTCGGGTTTAGGGTGTAGCGTGTAGGGTGTAGGGTGTAGGGTTTAGGAGGGTTTAGGGTTCAGGGTGCAGGTCGGACAACTGTTATGGACATGTAGGTTGAGCCTGTGAGACCTAAGCCCGAAACCCTAAGCCCCAAACCCTGAAACCCTTAACCCCCGAACCCTCAACCCTAAACCCCCCAACCCCAAATCCTAAACCCAAAACTCGCAAACCCTAAACCCTAAACCCCGCTAGCCCTAGACCCTAAACCTGAAGCCCGCAAACCCTAAACCCTAACCCGCCCTGGCTCTAGACCCCCAAACCCTAAACCCTAAACCCTAAACCCCAAACCCTCAAAAGGATGGCTACCTGAATTGCTCGGATCTCCATCCCTTCGCCACACTCACAGGCGGCCCTAGGTTTGGAAGAAAGGACTTCCCTTACTTGAAAGGGTTCGGGGTTTGGGGTTTAGGGTTTAGGGTTTAGGGTTTAGGGTTTAGCGTTTGGGGTTTGGGGTTTAGGGTTTGGGGTGTTTTGATAGGGTTCAGACTTAGGCTTTAGGGCTTCGCGTGTCTAGGCCTTCTTGGCTTTCAGGGTTTTAGGGTTTTGGGGTCTGGGGTTTGGGACTCAGGGCTTTCGGGTTTCGGGTTTCATAATTCTGGCATTCGGGCCTAGGGTTCAATGGGGTAGGGTTTAGGGCTTAGGGTTTAGGGCCAGGGTTTAGGGTTTAGGGTTTAGAGTTTAGGGCTTAGGGTTTAGGGTTTAGGACTTGTCATGGTTGTTGAGGGTTCAAGGGTACTTGTATAAGGTTCATAGGGTCTAGGGAGGGTTGTAAGTCTAAGGTCACCTAAACAAAGCCCTACACCCCAACCCTAAACCGCAAGCTCTGAACCCCAAAGCCCTAAACCCCCCAAGCGCGCCAATGAAAACCCTAAGCCCTAAATCCCAAAGCCCCAAAGCCCTAAAGCCCCCGAAGCCCTGCAACACCCTCAGCAAAGCCCTAGAAACCCCTCAGCCGCCCCTCAAAGACCTTTCAGAGACAAGCCTAAACACCCTCAACAATGCCCTCGAAAACCCTGAAACCCTGAAACCCTGAAACCCTGAAACCCTGAAACCCTGAAACCCTAAACCCTAAACCCCAAAACCGTCCAAGTAACCGTGTAACCCTCACGGTGTTCGTCGCCAGGCTTCGTTGGCGACCCTTCCGTCTGGAAAGAAGAGCCGGGGTCCCCAGGACGCGTTAGGGTTGCTTCTTTAGGGTTTAAGGTTTAGGGTTTAGGGTGCACGGCTTAGGGTTTTTAGGTGTTCGGGGTTGCCTTTTTGGGTTTCTTAAGCTATTCGTAGATGTGTTTTTTTGTTAGGGTTTTAGGGGTTTACTGCTTTTTCGGGTTGAGGGTGTAGGATTGCAGGGTCTAGGGATGTGTCGGGTTACAGGGTTCAGGGTACAGGGTGCGGGGTCCAGGTTGTAGGGTTTAGGGTTCAGGATTTAGGGTTTAGGGTTGTAGGGTTGTAGGGTTTAGGGTTTAGGATTGCAGGGTTTTTGGGTACATGGTTTAGGGATACATGCTTGAGGGTTCATGATCCCAGGGTGTTAGGGCGAAGTAATGTAGGGGGCGTAGTCTAAACCCTAAACCCTAAACCCTAAACCCTAAACCCTAAACCCTAAACCCTAAAGGGCGCAGGGTGCGCACAGCTCTGAATGTCATGAGACGCTACCTTGAACCCTAAGGCCGTACCCTTGCGTTCGGGCGGGGGAGGGAGGGGGGGGGGGGGGAGCAACCACTACTCGCCAGGTGCCCCTCTACTAGTGGGGGGGACTGTGAAACCGCAACCCCCTACAGTTAACCTGAAGCCCCGTAGTTCATTCCCTAAGCCCTGATCAGCCCTGAAATCTCGAAACTCCTAGACCCCGAGGCCTTAAACCCCTAAACCCCTAAACCCTAAACCCGAAACCCTAAAGCCCAAGCACCCCTTGTGTTCCCAAGAACCACCCCTAACACCATGCTTTTCCCTGAACTCCCTCAGAAGCCTGACCCCCTAAACGGTTTAGGGTTTAGGGTTTAGGGTTTAGGGTCCTGTTGCCCCCCAACCGCGCGCCTGAAAGCTCTGAGGTTTAGGTTTTAGGGTTGAGGGTTTGGGGCCTTTCTTGGTGTGTAGGGTTTAGGGTTTGGGGTTTAGGGTTTAGGGTTTAGGGTTGAGGGTTTAGGGTTGAGGGTTTAGGGCTAGGGTTTAGGGCAAACTTTAGGGTCACGGCCTGGGGGCCGCTTAGGCGGTGTAGGGCTTAGCGTCTCAAAAAAAACCTTCCACCCTAAACCCTAAACCCTAAACCCGAAACCCTAAACCCTAAACCCCAAACCGCGACCCTAGAACTCTCAGCTGACCCTGGGGCGACCACGTGACAGGTACGAGCTGCTCTGCCAGGACATGTGCCTCAGAGCGTTTAGGCTGTTTAGGGCTTAGGGTTTAGGGTTTAGGCTTAGGGTTTAGTGTTTAGGGTTTAGGGTTGAGGGTGTAGGGTTTAGGGTTTAGGGTCTAGGATCTAGGGTCTAGGGTTTGCGGTGGTTTCGGGTTTCGGGTTTAAGGGGCTTTCGAGACCAGGGGCTTTAGGGGTTTAGGGATTCTGGGCCTGGAATGTAAGGCTCCCCCAAGCCCTCAAAAGCTCCTACGTGCAGCCAGCAAGCTCGCTTGGAGCCCCAAACTCACTAAACCCCCTCAGGGGTTTGGGGTTTAGGGTTTAGGGTCTGCTCCTGAACCCCAACGAAGCCCACCCGCCCGCGTCAAAACCCCTCAAAGGCCTGTCCCGACCGCGGCTCAAGCCTCTCGGCTACAAAAGCGAGTTTTTGACGAGTGCGTTGCCATCTGAAATCATCTTGTCCTGCGCTTTCCGTCTGCTTGGCTGCATGGAGTCCCGTCGGCAGCTGCTCTGGGTCTTCGAGGACTAGGGTTTAGGGTTTAGGGTTTAGGGTTTAGGGTGCCGCCGGTTCTTTGGGGCGGTTGTCAGGTTTTCCGGGCTCAAGGACCGTAAGTTATGGTCCATAACCATCAGGTTCTGCTTGGGTACGCTGAGCCTAAAGGTACCCGCACGGGAGCCCTACGCCCTTCAACCCTCCAAAACCTCCAAAACCTCTAAACCCTAGCCCTAAACCCTTTGCTCAAACTCGGCATTGTCCCGAATAAAGATACCCTTTCTAAAGTCCCCAGAACACTATGATCCTGACCAAGCCCTAAACCCTAAACCCTAAACCCTAAACCCTAAACCCTAAACCCTAAACCCTAAACCCTAAACCCTAAACCCTAAACCCTAAGCCTTGAATTACCCAAAAGGGCACCACTACTTCCGGAAACCAGCAGGAGCCGAAGCAGGAGCGTAGAGCTCTGAGCCCAGCAGCCCCATACCCCCAGGGTTTATGGTTTAGGGTCTACTTGGAGGTTTAGGGTTTAGGGTTTAGGGTTTAGGGTTTAGGGTTTAGGGTTTAGGGTTTAGGGTTTAGGGTTTAGCTTAGTAACCTTATTATAACTGTACTTATTCACCCCATTGGGGTACTTAAGGGGCTTAGAAGTGGGGCATAAGGTTAAGTACCCTGAACCTCCAAGTAGGGAGTGACAGGACAAGGAGGTGGGCCGCATCAACGTTTTCAGCCTCTCGCCTTTGCCGATCGTGCATTTCCCCTGTTCCTTCGGGGGCTTGGCTGAGGATTCGCAGGTTTAGGGTTTAGGTTTTACAGAGTTTAGGGTTTAGGGTTTCGGGTTTCTTGGGTTAGCTACCTTCGAAGTCCCAACTCCCCAGCCGTCCTAAACCCTAAAACCCCTAAAACCCCTAAAGCCTCTAAAGCCCCTAAAGCCTCTAAAACAACCCCCCAAACCCCCTAAACCACGAGTCCCGCAGACCTAGGCAAGAACACCTTTTTGGAAGTGGAAGTGGCGCGTGGTGGAGGCAGATACGTCGCTGACCTTGCGGAGTGCGGCGCAAGAGGGTCTAGGGTTGAGGATTTGATGTTCCCCATTAACTAACAGTCCTTAATAGGGATTTTAGCACTCCCTACGATAATCCCTGTTAGGACTGCTAGTACAAGGGGGAACATTCCAAGGTTGAGGGTTTGAGGTTTAGGGCTTAGGGTTTCGGGTATAGGGTTTGGGGCGCATTCGTTGCTCTGGGCTTTGGGGGTTTTGGGTTTAGGGCCGTTTAGGGTTGACAAGTGGAGGCTTTGGGAATCGGGCTTTAGGGTGTTTTTTGAGTGCGGGGTTTAGGGTTGAGGGTTGTGATGTTCCCCCTTATACCAAGAGTCCTTGATAGGGATTAGAGTACCCCCTATTATAATCCTATTACTTAAGGGCTGTTAGTATATGTGGGAACATCCCAAGTGGAGGCTAAAGATAACCTTTCTCAGCCTTTCTCCGATCCGTAAACCCTAATTAAGACCCAAAGACCCGAAGACCCTGAGCCCCGACCTTAAAGAAAGTCGTGTCTTTCACGATGGTGAAATATTTCGGCTTCTGGGTCTTAGGGTTTCGGCGTTAGGGTTTAGGGCCTAGATGCTTCGGATTGATTTCGCTGGCGTCCTGAGGCGCAGAGTCTTATGACCAAACCAACTAAATTTTAATGCGCAACTCCTTGAAGGACTTCCATTAAAGTCCAAAACCCTGACACCCCTAAAGCCCCAAATCCCCAACCCCCCAAACCTTGGGGACCAATCGAAGCCTAAAAACGTGTATGGTCCGCATACAGCAGTATAGGGTACATGATCCCACCCTAAACTCTAAGCCCTAAACCCTAAATCCTTAACCCTAAACCCTGAACTCTAAATCCTAAACCCTAAACCCTAAACCCAATAGGGTCCAATCTGCAGACTTCAGGCCAGGCAATGATGCGGGCCAAGTCTCTGCCCGACCTCGGATGGAGGAGGCCGCGCAAAGGGGTCGAAGAGCACCTCCCCCTATTTTAAACCCCCCCCCCGCCCTACCCCCTAAACCCCCCCCCATATACTATAATATAACTATATATAAGGGGGGGGGATAATAACTAAGGGGGAGGGGGGGGTGTTAATATTAGGGGGACGGGATTAGGGGTCGGGCGGCGCTGTTTGCTGATGGTTTTGCACTGGGTTCCTTTCTCTTTTCTAAGAAACATTCAACATACCCCTAGGGCATACCCCTTAACAGAAATTAAAATCCTCCCTTAGACTCCCTTTATATTCTACTTTCATAGGTTAAGGGATATGGGTTTGGTATGGCGAGTTATTCTTAGATCTTTGCGGCAAACACGTGAGGTCTACCGAGATGCTGATGCCCGTGGGCGCGGTGCATGACCAAGACGTCGGACAGAATCAGGAAACGCCGACTCTTTGTCATAGTTGGGTAACATTTTACTTTTTTAAGGGTACCTAGACCCAATAAGGAAAATAAGTTTTAATGTTTAATACTATCCCAACCATGAGCTAGGACTGAAGGCTTCGAGAAGCAAGCCGCGCAGTCGACTTGGCAAGCTCACGTTGCCGGCTCTTGCAAGCCATGCACCTTCTTCGTAAGAATGCAGGATGGGTGCCGCCTCGGTGATGCATGCCGTTATTGCCACTTCGGCTCGCGCAAAGAAGCCAAGCGCAGGATCAACCGCTTGAACGAGCAACACAGGAAAGCGGCATTCCTGCGCCCAGCGACTACGGCCTAAAGAGCAACGAATGGGAGTTTACGAAAATGGGCCCCTAGAATAGACTCCCAATTATTTTAGGATTCCCTTGTAATGAGGACCCCAAGAAGGTGCCCCAAAACTTCGGAAAACCCCCAGGGGGCTGAACAGAAGAATCCCGCCGTCTGGCTGTCTCAGGGTAATTAGGCAGCCAATCCCGGCGTGAGCCTTGCTACACTGGGAGCACACTAGGCCCAGCGTAGACAAGGGCTTGGAGGTTCATGGTACTTATGAACCAGTCATAACTGTACCTATAACCCACTTATGAGACCCCCTAAGTGCCTTAATATGGTTAGAAGCACAGTTATAAGTACAGTTACAAGTGGTTAATAAGTACCATGAACCTCCAAGGGGGCTGAGCAAATGCTTCATGAGGTTGCGTGTCCCGAGTAGCTGGCCATCCAGGAAGAAGACATTGGCCGCTTCGGGGGCTGCAGCACTTGAAGCTTCAGATTTTTTGACTGGGAGGTCGCGGCTCAACATGCCGGGCTGCCTTCTGATGAAATCGGCAGGTCCTCTGGCCACCCAGGAGTACCATTTTGGATTGAAGAGTAAGGTTCCAGTACCCACGCCCTTATCCCTATTTTGGGTAAAGGATAGGAAGCCCTAAACCCGAAACCCGAAGCAAACCAGAAGACGGGTACCCTGTGCTGGCCGAAAATACTGGGCGTACCCTCAGGGTTAGCGAGCCCCCAGGTGGATGGCCAGAGGGCAGAAACCTGGAGTGCTTTAGGGTTTAGGGTTTAGGGTTTAGGGTGCAGGGTTTAGGGCTAGGGAAAAGCCCCAAGGCCCTAGTTGTCTATTTGGAGGTTCATGGTACTTATTAACCAATTATAACTGTACTTACAACTGTACTTGTAACCATATGAAGGCACTTGGGGGGCTTATAAGTGGGTTATAAGTACAGTCATAATTGGTTAATAAGTACCATGAACCTCCAAGAAGGGTTTTTGGGGCTTTGGGCCCTAACCCCTAACCCCTAAACCCTAAACCCTAACCCCTAAACCCTAAACCCTAAACCCTAAACCCTAAACCCTAAACCCTAAACCCTAAACCCTAAACCCCAAACCCCAAACCCTAAACCCTAAACCCTAAACCCTACCAAAGCAGGACCGCTGGGTCTGAGCCTTGGGCTCAGGGATTCGAACTTCGGAAGCGGGCGGGACCCACCTCTGCTTGGCGGTTATTGGGTACTTAGTACCCCAATTATAAATGGGGTGTAGGGTGTTGAGTTTAGGGTTTAGGGTTTAGGGTTTAGGGTTTCGGGTTTAGGGTTTAGGGTTTAGCGTTTAGGGTGTACGGTTTAGGGGGTGCCCTAATGGGGTCATAATTGGGTTATGAGTACAGTCATCATTGGGTTACTAAGTACCCTGTGAGGCATGAGGATCTGCCAGACGCCCGAAGGCGTGACATCAGTTTTGTTTCTTGCCTTTTCAATCTGGAGTCGCGCGCTTCATGAAACCTCGCAATAAGCAAAGTTGTCACAAGAAAAAGGCAAAAGGGAATCTCTGCAACATCTTCTAGCGCAACTACTCACCGACGCCGCCCCCGGTGGCGGGGTTTAGCACAGATCCGGTTGTGCAGCAGCCACCTGGGCCATCCCTGTGGACGCCTCGAGTGGCCCGAGTCTGCATATGCCAAGCTCCTCTGCCAAGCCACCGTTTAGGGTTTAGGGCTTCGAGAGCTTTTAGGGCTTTTAAGGCTTTTAGGGCTTTTAGGGCTTTTCCCGTGCGAGCTGCGAGTTGTGAACTCTGATCACCCGGTACATGAGGCAAGTCCGGAAGTGGAAACGTCAATGTTGAAATGGGTCTTGCGCATGAGAGTTTCGCATTGCGACTTGCTGCTGTGCATGCTTGCCTACAGCCCAACCAAAACGAAGTGTCCTAAACCCTAAACCTAAATCCTAAACCCTATAGGGTGTATAAACCCTGATCTAATGAAGCTTCGGGGCTTCGGCTTCTGCTGTCGGTCTTAAACATAAGACCCTAGACTATAATCCCGAAACCCTTAGGAGAGTACGATACCCTAAACCCTAAACCAAACCCCAAACCCTAAACCATAAACCCTCAAAAAGAGACCGAATGGTTCTGAACCCGCGGGAACCACGCGCAGGGCGTCTTGCGCCAGCATTCGGGCGTTCATGATGCGGGATGAAGGCTTTCGGCTGACAAGCTCCATGATAGCCTTACTTCGCCTATAGTTGAGCTTTTAAACTTTCTTGGGTTTCCTTATTTGTAGGAATGTTGAAGTTTAACCTTTTTTTCCCCTTGGTTATTGGAGAAGCTTGCAGCTGCCCGTGAGCTTTAAACCCTGAACCCCGACATCCCAATGGCCCAAGGGTTTAGGGCTGATGGTTCGTTTTTCGTATTTTTTCTGTTTTTTTTTTTTTTTTTTCGTCTTTTTTTTTGGTTTCAGGTGAACCCTAAACCCTAAACCCTCAACCCTAAAAACCCTAAAAACCCTAAAAACCCTAAAAACCCTAAAAACCCTAAAAACCCTAAAAAACACTAAAAACCCTAAAAACCCCAAAAACCCCAAAAACCCCAAAAACCCTAAAAACCCTAAAAACCCTAAAAACCCTAAAAACCCTAAAAACCCTAAAAACCCTAAAAACCCTAAAAACCCCAAAAACCCTAAAAACCCTAAAAACCCTAAAAACCCTAAAAACCATAAAAACCCTAAAAACCCTAAAAACCCTAAAAACCCTAAAAACCCTAACCCTAAACCCTAAACCCTAAACCCAAGACCATGAAAATACGAAAAAAAAACAGAAAAAACACGAAAAAAAAACCTGGACCCAGGGTTTAGGGTTTAGGGTTTAGGGTTTAGGGTTTAGGGTTTAGGGTTTAGGGTTTAGAGCATAGGGTTCAGGGTTTAGTGTTTAGGGTTTAGGGTTTAGGCCTGGGGCTTCTCGGCTTCAGGGATCTTTCTTTATGGCCACCGCGAGAGGAGCACGGCGTTGAAGTTGCATGGCAGGTCGCAGCTCGCGCTGCCCGACCGCCTGCAGAAATGCAGGTCCTCGTGCTACTCGGGAGTAACGTAGGGTCGGAATAGTTACCACTAGTATTCCCTTCTTGTCCCTTTTATACATATACTTTAATAGCCCATCCACCCCCCCTCCACCCTAAACCCTAAACCCTAAACCCTAAACCCTAAACCCTAAACCGTGAGGCCCCTATATTAGCGTTGTAGGGATGGACAGCGGCCTTACATGGGCTTCTCAGCGGGGCAGTAGGGGGCACTTCGAAGCCCAACTGGAACTACGCATGGGTTTAGGGTTTAGGGTTTAGGGTTTAGGGTTTAGGGTTTAGGGTTTAGGGACCTCCACGCGCCTTTAGATGCCCTAAAAACCGTAGACCTCACCTAGAGGTTCAGACTTAGTAACACAATTATAGCTGTACTTAGAACCCAACGGATAACCCCATTTGGGTTCTTAAGGGGCTTATAAGTTGTTTATAAGTACACTTATAGTTGGGTAACCCTAAACCCTAAACCCTAAACCCTAAACCCTAAACCCTAAACCCTAAACCCTGAACCTCCAAGCACCCTGGAAGGTAGACGCCAGCCCACCTCGTTGGATGCTTGCCTGAACCTCTTAGGCCTAAACCCTTGCGCCTCGAGTCGTCAAAGCTTCTCTGGTGCGCGGGCACGTCTCCCTAAACCCTAAACCCTAAACCCTAAACCCTAAACCCTAAACCCTAAACCCTAAACCCTAAACCCTAAACCCTAAACCCACAAATCAGACACCTGAGGCCCGGAGTGCTTCGGCTTTGGGGTCTAGGGTTGAGGGTTTGGGGTTTGAGGGCTTGTCTAAGGTTTAGGGTTTAGGGTTTAGGGTTACCTCTGGGTCTGAGCCTGCGGCTCAGGGCTTCGAACTTCGGATGCGGGTCATGCTGGCCGACGTCTGTGGACATGAGGCATGAGGATCTGCCAGAAGCCAGAAGGCGTGACGTCAGTTACGCTTCACGTTTTATCAACCGGAGTTGCACACTTCATGAAACATAAAGCAATGTTGTCAAAAGTTAAAGGAGAAAGGTAAGTCTGTACTTGCTGCAACTCCAAGTTAGGGTAGCTATTCACCATTGTGCAACCCGGCCAGCCTTGTGCCTCGAGTCTGCACATGACGAGCTCCTGCCAAGTCGAGGGTTGAGGATTTAGGGTTGAGGGTAAAGGGCCTTTACGGGCTTTCAAGGGCTTTTACGGGCTTTTAAGGGCCTTCTAGGGCCTTTAAGGGCTTTTCACGTGCGAGCGGCGAGTTGCGAATTCTGATCACCCGATGCATGAGGCAAGTCTGGAAGTGGAACCGTCCATGTTGAAATGGGTCTGCACAGGAGAGTTTCGCATGGCGACTTGCTGCTGCGCATGCGCTCCTACTATAGCCACTTTTACCTAAGAAGTATATACTTTTTGTCCTATCATTTAGGGAATTAGCGATGAGGGATGTACACTCCATGTTTTATGGTCTTCGGGCTTGCGCATGCGACGACCCTCGAGCTGTCAACAGATTTTTCCCGATGCCTAAGGCGAGATCCGATCGATCACCAAAGGTGTAGGCCCTTGGTCGATTCGTCATTGTCCTTTGTTGGCTTTGATAGTCCCTAAACCCTAAACCCTAAACCCTAAACCCTAAACCCTAAACCCTCAACCCTCAACCCTCAACCCTAAACCCTAAACCCTACCTGCACAGGTGTCTAGTCTGATGTGTGGAAGTGTTTGGAAGACGTGAAAATCATGTCAACCCCTAAGCCCAAACCCTAAACCCTAAGCCCTAAGCCCTAAAATCATGTCAACCCCGAAGCCTTAAACCCCAAACCCTCAAGGGCCCACCTAGCAACACGCATTGCGACCAGCCACTGCACAGGTTTGCTGATTGCTGACGAAAACAGTTAGGGTTTAGGGTTTAGGGTTTAGGGTTTAGGGCCTAGGGCTTAGGGTTAGGTTCTGCGGTTGGGGTTAGGTTTTAGTTCGGGTTTAGCCTAAAGCCCCTGAACCCTAATTAAACCCTCTGAGACTTAAGCCCTAAACCCCGAAAATCCTCTGAGCCTTAAGCCCTAAACCCTAGTTGCAAACCCTAATGGCTCAACTCAAGCGCGGAGGCCCTTTAGCCCCCCGAATTCTCAAACAGGTTTAGTACTGGGGTGGGTGCCGGGAGGGTGCAGGAAAAGTAGGATTTAAAGGCATCACAATGTAGAGGGGCTTGAGGGTTAAAGGTCCAGGGCAATCATTTGGCAGTGCAATGCCTTCACATCATTCTGCCTAAACCCTAAACCCTAAACTTGTCAGGAGTATGGCTGCGAGACCCAGTGGGGACTTGACCAGCGAAGTTTCTTCTCTATGGTGGTTCTCCATGGCTTGTGTTGCCTTCGGGCCTACCTGGGCCAGTTTGGGGTTTAGGGTTGACGGCTTAGGGTTTAGGGCTTAGGGTTAGTTGTAGCTCCTGTTCGTGGGTATCTAGTGCTTGGTGTGAAGCAGCAGAATGCTTGAAAGAAAGGTGCCCCAAGCAGCGGAACTACAATTCAAGGTCCCGGTTGGGTTTCTAGGTAGCTGTTGCAAGACACCTCCTGTTCGGTACCCAAAACCCGCAACCTGAAACCCTGAAGCGTAGAGACTCCTAAGCCTCCCTCATTAAGGAGGACTTGTGGAATTTCATTAGGATCGCGAATGCGCTCTAAGGAGAAACCTTCTACTTTCAAAGATCAACTGCCGAAATCGAAGTTTGATTTCCACCACCCCCTGAATCAAAAGATGGTCCGCCCCACATCACAGATTGGATAAGTATTCTTGAATCAAGTACAGAATGTTGAGGTCTCTGGGTACGGAGGACTCACTTGTTTTTGGAAAGAGATCGAATCCCCTATGACTTGAAAGGCCTACCCCCTAAACCCTTCTGATGAGCCCTTTTAAACACCTTGTTATGCCTAGGTTGCACTAGGACTCTGGAGTCGTTAGGAATACCAAACTCGCTTAAGAACCCCAAAAAACAAAAACAATCGTCTCCATATTACCCTGAATAGGGAAGAATAATTTTATCGCTAACGCGAGGCCGCCTCGGCAAGGGTACCGAGGCGGCAGGAAGGGGCAGTGCCCTAAACCCTAAACCCTTAGCTTCGGGGTTTAGGAGTTTAGGGTTAACCCTAAACCCTAAACCCTAAACCCTAAACCCTAAACCCTAAACCCTAAACCCTAAACTTAACCCTAAGCCCGCAACTGACCCTACACACGGCCTTGGACACCAAAGGCTGGTCGGAACCTGGATTCAGCTTGGTGTTTCTCAGGTTCGTACTGTTGCTATAGAATCAAGGGAGTCATAATATGGCCCTTCTATTCCCTTAGAGGATCTTTGACAAGGGTCCCCAAGGGTACAACCTTAGGGAGGTTCGTACTGCTGCTATAGAATCAAGGGGAGTCATAATTATGGCCCTTCTATTCAGCTTGCTGTTTTTAAGGTTAGTATCTGTTGCTATAGAATCCCTTATATTCCCTTAGAGGATCTTTGACAAGGGTCCCCAAACCCAAGGGTACAACCTTAGGGGGCCGAGGCAGAGTCCCATGATCGAATTTATATATGCTTGCACCACAATGGTATTTGACTTGAAGTTCCTTCACAAGACCCCAAAGTTGGGTGTGCTTTTAACCTTCAACCCTAAACTAAACTTTAAACAAACCCTCATTTGCATGTCCCCTACAGTACACCCGAAACCCTACACCCTAAATCCTAAACCCTAGACGCGCACCACAATCCAACTTTCCCCTGACACCTCCCGGAATGTGGCAGGCCCAGCAACCTCCGAAGTCACCCCGAAAGCCCGCCTAAGAGAGCATTTTTTAGGGTTTAAGGTTTTGGGTTTTGGGTAGGATCCCTAAACCCCAAACCCGAAACCCCAAACCCCAAACCCTAAACCCTTAAGAGCGTGTTTGATCGGGCTTCTCGCCAGGATACGTCCTCCGAGAACGGCTGCTACTGCTCCGATGAGGAGCTGGCGAGGGCCCCCGGAGGATGTGGTTCCCTGAGACCCTAGCCGTAAACCTACACCCTAAACCCCAAGCCCTAAACCCTAAACCCTAAACCCTAAACCCTAAACCCCAAACCCAAAACCCTCAACCCTAGCCCTAAACCCTGGCCCTAAACCCTAAACCCTAATCTCTAAACCCTAGCCCTAAACCCTAAAGCTCAAAATCTAAGGGAAGGATGATTCGGGTTCAGGGTTTGGAAACTACTGGCCCGTTGCCTTCTTTAAAAGGGTTCTGAAGCATGGGCCCGTTGGGATATATATGGGTAATATAAATTCACCATGTCAACCCTAAACCCTAAACCTTAAACCCTAAACCCGGGAACCTCATAAGCCTAGACCTCTGCATAACCTGGGTTTAGGAATTTGGGGTTTCGGGTTTTTGGGTTAGAAACCTTAAAAACCTAGACCCCAACATAACCTGGGTTTGAGGTTCTCGGTTTAGGGTTTAGGGTTAGAAACCTTAAAAACCTAGACCCCTGGGTTTAGGGGTTTAGGGTTCGAGTTTGGGGTTGGGAAACTGAACGTCTAGACCCCAAAAGAACCTGGGTTTAACGTTCACTAAGTTTACTGAACCCTGAGTCCTGTAGGGTATTCCCTTCTTTGGGGGGGGGGCTACTTAGCCGCAACACGGGAGTTCAGGGTTTAGGGTGTAGGCTTCCTGAACCCCAACAAACCCTAAACCCTCAACCCTCAACCCTAAACCCTAAACCCTCAACCCTAAACCCTAAACCCTAAACCCTAAACCCTAAGGTTAGATCATCCAGACCCCCGCACCCGATCCCGCCCCAGGCAGAGATACTGGAGAAGCTGAAATCGAGCTCCGAGCTGACTGCACGCTCGCACCCCAGCCATCGGAGCCCTAAATCCTCAACCCTAAGCTCTCCGCCCTAAACCCTAAGCCCTAAGCCCTAGCCCTAAACCCTAAGCAATTGGGATTTCGGGTTGCCGTGGTTTTGGGAAGTTGGGAGTTTGCTTTACATGAGTTGGTGGTCTCTTTAAGTAGGGGTTCTGTTTTATAGGGGTATATATTCGGGGGGAGGTATCTAGAGGCTATGTTCAGCTATGAGGGTAACAGATACAGAGGCCACCGGCGTTTGTAAAGTTTGCGGTGTAGGGCTTAGAGGGTGAGGGATTCCTTAGACCCTAAACCCCAGGCCCTTTTTCCGGCTTAGGGCTTGGGTTAAGGGGTTAGGGGTTTAGGGCTTAGGGCTTAGGGCTTAGGGCTCAGGGCTTAGGGCTTAGGGTTTGGGGTTAGGGGTGTAGGGGTGTAGGGGTGTAGGGTTTTTTGGGTGTAGGGTTTGGGGTTTAGGGTTTAAGGTGGGTTTAGGCTTTGCAGGGTTTGGAGTGCAGGGATCATGAGCCCCGGAAGCCTCAACCCTGAAACCCACTGACTATTCTAAACCCTAAACCCTAAACCCTAAACCCTGAACCCTAAACCCGAAACCCGAAACCCGAAACCCGAACCCTAAACCCTAAACCTCTTAAGCTGGTCTCCTGCGCACACCTTGGCCGTGCATGCAGAAGCAGGAGCAACCGTAAACCCTTCATACTCTAAGCCCTAAACCCTAAACCTTAAACCCTAAACCCTAAACCTTAAACCCTAAACCCTAAACCCTAAACCCTAGAGGCTCTAGCCACTAAACCCCAAAGACTTTGAAACGCCAAACCCCTAACGCTTCTTTCCCCAACCCTAAACCCGAAACCCTAAACCATAAGCCCGGCAGACAGCCAGGAAAACACCTGAAGTGCGATGTTTTCGGGCGCTTCGACGAGGACTTTAGGGGTTTGGGGTTTAGGGTGTAGGGTTTAGGCTTCTTCAAGATTCCCGGTGTAGGGTTTCGAGTGCAGCGGGTTGTTTTTTTTGGGCCCCTATTCCTGTTTGCCACTCTGCTTCATGCGACAGCTGTAGTGCCCTGAACGTCAAAACCCTCAAAGCTCGTGTTCTAGGCCCCTCGTCCCCTAGTTCCCACCTCCAAACCCTTCCGTTAGTAGTTCTGTGCTGCCGCTGTCACCTGTGGCAGTGCATGGTACTATCGACCCTAAGCCTTAAACGCTAAACCCTAGACCCTAAACCTTAAACCCAAAACCAGAGGCCAAGTCGGGCATGACGATCGTTGCATGTGTGGGGGCCGATTGCCTTCAAGGTCACACTTGACATGGGTTTGCCCTAACACGCAACACTTACGTGTGTCCATCGCTGCGCCGCGCAGCCGGGCCGAAGAGCGACTGTTCACGCGCCATGTCGTGGAATTCCCGCAGCCTCCCCCTGCAGTCGACCTCGATGATTTCAGAGAAGAGATCCCACAGAGGCTTGACGTGGCGATCGGCCAGGCGGCGCCTGATGCTGCTATCCTTGTCGCATCGGATGCAAGAAAGCCCCTAAACCCTAAACCCTAAACCCCAAACCCTAAACCCTAAACCCTAAACCCCAAAGCCTACACACCCAGCAGCCGCAGCCTGAGGGATGCTTTCCGGCTTCGATGGGGCATGGATGCCAGGAAACCTACAGTTTTGTTCTGTTTTGCTGAGGGTTTAGGGTCTAGGGTTTAGGGGTTAGGGGTTAGCGGTTTAGGGTTTAGGGGCTTAGGGGCTTAGGGGCTTAGGGGCTTAGGGGCTTAGGGGCTTAGGGGCTTAGGGGCTTAGGGGCTTAGGGGCTTAGGGGCTTAGGGGTTTACGGGACGGCGGGCCTCCATAAGGAACGGTTTAGGGTTCAAACGACCATCGTCAGCTCCCTTGGGCCTCTTGATGCTGATGTAAGTTATATGTTCTGTAGACTCAAGAGTAACCTAGGTATAAAAAGGGCGGCCTTTTGTTTTAAAGGGGGTTATACGGGACCCTAAACCCTAAAAGAAATGGGAATAAGGGCCTACTCCTGGTCCAACTTCTAGACCCTAAGCCTTTCCTAAATGAATTCTAAGCCGTACGCCTAAGCCCAAACCCCAGAGGCTACCCCCCCCCCCCCCCCCCCCCTGCGCCCCCCCCTCCCCCCAGACTAAACCCCTACACGACTCGGACTTACATAGATGCCTAAAACCCTAGATGCCTCAAGCCTAAACCCCTGAACCCTAAACCCCCGAAACCTTAATCCCTAAAACCCTGAACCCAAACCGGGGCCCCGAACAACCCCACAGTCTAAACAGGGGGAGGGTTCAGGGTTTAGGGTTAGTGTTTTGGTTCAGGGGTTTTAGGATTAAAAGGGTTTAGAGGTTTATAGGAGTTATAGGATTTATAGGCTTTACAGGCTTTGCAGGGTTGAGGGTTTATAGGGTTTAGGGTTTCTAGGGGTTAGGTAGTGGGGGCTTCTGATGGCGCGTGTTAAGGGTTGAAGGATAGTTTGGGGCTCGGGGTTGTGGCCAAGGGTCCGACAGAACAGCCCGGAAGGACTCCGACGGATACCTGAACTCACAGGAAGCGCAGGCCTTCGCCGAAGAGACAGGAGAGGCATCTTTAAGTAGGGTGTAGGGTTTAGGGTTTAGGGTTTCGGGTTTCGGGTTTGGGGTTTAGGATTTGGGGTGTAGGGCCTATGTAAACTGGGTTTTGGAGTACTTTGGTTCTGGGTTCCTATTAAAAGCTACTTATACCAACAGGTATCTTTATTTGTCCAGGGTTTACTCCAAAGTAGGGATTTATGATTGCCCATGTTGTGGTTCTTTTAAAGGGGGTATGGGGGTATATAAGGGGTGCCCCTATTTTCGGAAATCCCCATTTGTACTAAGAAGCTAGTTTGTCCGTGCTCAACTGTGGTACACCTGGCCCAGATCATTCTACGGCCTCGGACTAGGCTCAATCGTTTATGGTTTGGGGTGTTCTTTTTGACCGTGTGGTCGCGCATCATGGCAAACCCTAAGCCGTAAACCCTAAACCCCAAACCCTAGACCTTATACTCGGGTAGGCACTCGTATATCAGGAGTGGAGGCTTTGATTCGGGCCTCGTTTGCGGTCTTGCGTTTGTTGTGATGAGGCATAGAAATCCAAGAGGTTTTGTTTCCCTAAACACTAAACACTAAACCCTAAACCCAAAAAACCTTAAACCCTAAATCCAAAAGAATTGTCAAGAGGTTTTGTTTGTACAGAGGATTTGATGGCGATGTGGCGATCTGGAGCGAGGAGTTCCGGGACCTTTGCCAGGAGAGGGTTCAGGGCTTAGGGTAGGGTTTAGGGTTTAGGGTTTAGGGTTTAGGGTTTAGGGTTTAGGGTTTAGGGTTGAGGGTTGAGGGTTGAGGGTTGAGGGTTGAGGGTTGAGGGTTGAGGGTTGAGGGTTGAGGGTTGAGGTTTAGGGTTTAGGGTTTAGGGTTTACCCGAAAATCTTGAGATCTTTAAACCCAAGCTTACCCTAAAAACTATGCCCTAACCCCTGTAAAACCCTAAACCCTATAACTCCTACGTGGGGTTCAGGGAAAAGCCTGGAAACCCGAACTGTAATCAGCAAGCCTTTAGGCCTGGGTCTCTTGCTCAAGGCTCCCACAGCCCCCTTTAGGAATTGTATCTCTTGTTGTAATCTATATAAAGTCCAATGGATGTGAAGACTACCTTATGTTAGTAAGGTTCTGAGGGGAGGATAGGCTCCAGCCTCTGCACTAGTTTAGACCTCAAAACCCAGCAGTCTTCTGCGAGTAGATCACTCGCAAGACTTCCTGCGCCTAAGCATTCTAAAGCCAGGTACTCCTAGGAATGCCTGACCCCCTGCACCCTGATCTGGTCAAACCCTAAACTCTAAACCCTAAACCCGAAACCCTAAACAGAACTAAAGACACTAAGCCCTAAACCCTAAACCCTAAAGCCTGAACCCTAAACCCTAAACCCTAAACCCTAAACCCTAAACCCTAAATCGTACTGTTCGCCAACAGCCTCGCGCAGCGTTTTTTCACCGCTGAGCGCAAGCTCCCCGGGCGCCGGCGCTGGCGCGCGGGGCCAGGCCCGGACTGAGTTCAGAGTTTAGGGTTTGGGGTTTGGGGTTTGGGGTTTTGGGTTTGGGGTTTGGGGTTTAAGGTTTAGGGTATGGGGTTTGGTGTTTAGGGTTTAGGGTTCAGGGTTTAGGGGCCTGTGGTGTTTTTGTTTGCTTTCTAGAAGTTTGGGGTTTATGTGGGTTTAGGCATTGGGGATTTGGGGTTTGGGTCTCGGGGTTTCTGGCTGCGGGCTTGGAATGTGGGGTTTTTTTGGCTTAGCCACGCGTGCAAGAGTTTAGGGTTTGTTAGGGTGCTTCGTGCTTAGGGTTTCGCGTTTGGGTTGTTTCGGGGGCCAGGGCGCAGGGTTCCGCTTCAGGGCCAGACTTCTGGCTTTCTAGCGCACCGTTGGCTTCGCAAGGCTACCCTGAACCACACACCCTAAACCCTAGCCCATAACCCTAAACCCTAAACCCTAAACCCTAAACCCTAAACCCTAAATCCCTGGGAGGCAGCATGGCGCACGTGACCTTCATTGCGAGGAGCATGGATGGCCTAATCCTGGTCGAAACCTGGGACGACTCCAACAAGGCCCGGAGTTTAGGGTTATAGGGTTTAGGGTTCAGGGAACCCTGCATAAACCGCATAAACCCTGAAACCCTCTAGGGATCCTTACTAAGCCGCATAACCTTAAAACCCTATAGGGAACCCTTCACAAACCTTACAAACCCTAAAACCTATAAACCCTGCAGAATCCTTATTACCGACAGACCCTACAGAAGACCTGCCGTTGTAGGGTTTAGGGTTTGAGTTTAGGGTTTAGGGTTTAGGTTTAGGGGTTTAGGGTTTAGGGTTTAGGGTTTAGGGTTTAGGGTTTAGGGTTTAGGGTTTAGGGTTTAGGGTTTAGGGTTTAGGGTTTAGGGTTTAGGGTTTAGGGTTTAGGGTTTAGATCCCACCGGGCAACCCCAAACAGCCACTTCAGGGGCATAAGAAGGGAGCCCTAGAAGGGACCCTTATTCCCCTAAACCCTAAACCCTAAACCCTAAAACCTAAACCCTACAGCCCCTAAACTTTGGACCTTAAGCGCAGACAGCGAGTGCCCCCCCCCCCCCCCCCCTGTGTGCCCATCTCCTCTGCCTCTGTTTCATGGATTCAGGGGTCCACAAAACCCTCAAGCCCAAAAGTTTGGTAAGCCCTCAACCCTAAACCCTAAACACCACCTAAAGCCCACAACACCCTAAGCTTTCTACACCCTAAAATCTACCCAAACCCCTAGACACCCTAAGCTCTAAATACCCCAACACCTAGCGCCCCAAGCCCTAAACCCCACGCACCCAAAGCTCCCTAACCCGCCTAGACCTGATACGCCCACACCCCAAAGCTGAAATTCATAAAGCCCCCACCCCTAAGACCCCCAACCCCCAAACCCTTCGACCCTAAACCGCAAACCCTTAAAACCCAAACCCCTAGACCCAAAACCTAAACCCCAAACCCCTAAACCCTTAGATCCCAAATCTCAAACCCCCGAACCCTCAAACCCCAAGCCCCAAACCCAGGGGCCGCAATTCGGAGAGCCGAGGTTTCAAAGCAGGTCAAGGATCAGGCCAAGCAGCTCCTAAGATCTTTGGCCTTCATCTCCGGCTTAAGGTTTAGGGTTTAGGGTTTAGGGTTTAGGGTTTAGGGTTTAGGGCTCTATAGTTCCTTGATATGGTCCCTTACCTTGTGAGAAGGGTTCTGAAGTATTGGCCCTTGGGTTGTATAGGGCATGTAAGGGGTATAGAAGGGTTGCGAAATTAAGTGCCCATACTGCTACCATTAGCTTAAGAACCCCCCCCCCCCAAAAAAAAAAAAAATGAAAAGAAAACTATGTTACCCTTGCATGGAAGAATGTTTTTTTGCTGTTTTTAAGCAAATAGTAGATTAAGGGGCCATGTCTCTGCCCTTAGGCTGCTTCTCCTTCGGGGCTCAGACTATAAGAAGGCTTTTTCCTTGTGGTTGTAGGGTTCAAAGTGTTTACAGGGTTGGTACTCTAAACCCTAAACCCTTAACCCCCCTACACCTTGAGCCCTAAACTGTTTAGGAACTGGGTTTTGCGGTTTGGCGGGCTGAGGGTTCAGGGATGTGGGCAAGGGGCAGCAGCAGGGCTCTAAGGTGAAGGGGCTCGACGTCCGGTTTCCAGGGCCTGCAGGGTTTACTACTGTTTGCTTTAGAACGCCCCAAAAGCAAACAAGAATCAAGAATCCCTATCTTACCCTTATCCGGAAGAACATATTCTTGTTTGGTTCTTAAGCAATTCGTAGTTTAAGTGCTAAGGGCCTAGGGGGTTCGGTTCGACAAGGGGCCCTGGCTGTCTGATTCGGGCTACTTGAGCATGAAGGGACCCGTGTAGCTGCTCTGGGGGGGGGGGGGATTGAGCTTAGGTACCTTGATTAGCAAGAACGGGATGCAAGCTCTGAAGCTTTCTTCGAAGTTGCGCAGATCCCACCTCCTCAAAGCCCCGGCTCCGAACAGCCCCAAAGTAGGTAACGACTTTGGACCCAAAGATAGGTACTATTTGTCTCTACCCTTTCAACCCTAAACTAAAAAGACTCTAAACCGGGATAGACAGCTGAAACCCGAAGACCCTTTAAGCCCTGAAGACACGGCCCCCCCCCCCCACCCCCAAGGAAAGCTGCACAACATGCCGCCGAGATGTTCCGTGGAAGGCCTTTTCTACGTTTGGGGTTTGGGGTTTTGGGGGGTTAAACCCTGACGTGGTTGCAGCACTGGCTCACCTAGAACTTTTGCTGCAGCAAGAAGTGTGCCAAAACACCAACTCAAAACCGCAAAACCCCCAAACCCCACAACCCTAAACACCCTGAACCCTAAACCCCAAACCCCACAACAATAAAACGCAACAACCCAACAATCCCACACCCGCCCCGGACCCGAAAAGGCACCACTGGGGAGACTCCTTTCATTTTTTTGGAGGGGGGTGGGGGGGGGGGGTACATAAAAGGGTCCGTGGGTGAAGTGTGGGTCATATGTGCAGTTCCCTAACTTTAGTCTCTTTTTGCTTGGAATGCTTGATACAGGGCTTTGTGCTCTCTTTCGAATAAGCAATCCCCTCCCCCCCCCCCCGCCCGAGGGATTTGGGGCTTAGGGTTTAAGAACCGTACAAGGGACCAGAACTCGAAGAACCCCCTCGCCCCTCGAAGGGGTTCCGGGCCGAAGAGATGTAAACCTACGCCAGATCAACCTGAGACCTTTACTAGGTAGGCCCTTGGGACATTTTATATTTTCCCTTATTTGGGTTTAAGAGGATCATATTCAGGAATATTTTTCAGAGGGCTTTAGGGGCCAACCTAGTTTAGGGTTGAGGGTTCAGGGTTCAGGGTTCAGGGTTAGGGTTTAGGGTTCAGGGTTTAGGGATTTTTCTTCAAAGGTGCAGTGGGCTGTCGCTCTGCACGAACTCCAGGGTTTAGGGTTTAGGGGGTCTGTGGTTGAGCGTTTAGTGGTTGAACTGATTTTAGCTGAACCTGCAAGTGGTCCGTTGCTTGAGGGCCCCGGACCCTCTTTAAGGCTCAAGGTTTAGGGCAGCCCCCAAACCCTAAACCCTAAACCCCAGACCCCCGAAACCCCAAAACCCAAACCCTAAACGCAGTTCTGAGAGCAGAATAGGATGTAGGGCTTAGGGCGTAGAGACATCCTCCGCCCCGCAGAGTCTCTACATTTTTGGTGAAGCGCTTGTGGAGTTTAGTCTTTAGGCTTTAGGCTTTCCTAGTATGACTAGGACCGGGAGTAGGCCTTGATTGTCCTGTTTTTAGGGTTGGGGTTCCCTTATAATCCCCTTAAAACCAAAAGGGTGCCCCTTTTTTTCCTGGATTCCTCCCGGGTCTAGTAGCCCTAAACCCTAAACCCTCATATTGGTCCCCTTATGGCCCGCTTAGCTGTTCAAAAAGGAGCAGGCGACTTCGTCTTTCACTACACCATAGAGAATGGCGCCGCGGCCATGTTTCCAAAATCCGGGTTTAGGGCTTATAGGGCTTAGGCTTGGGGCTTAGGGCTTATAGGGCTTAGGGCTTGGGGCTTAGGGCTTAGGGCTTATAGGGCTTATAGGGCTTATAGGGCTTATAGGGCTTATAGGGCTTATAGGGCTTATAGGGCTTATAGGGCTTATAGGGCTTATGTGCCATGGACCTTTACGTACAATGTGGGAACCGCTTTTTTTCAATCTTAAAACTTGTCTGTGCAAGTAGATTTTCA